AGAGCTCGAGAAACCCACATGCTAATTTGAGGACTGCTCGGCACACAGAATGAAATTCAAATTTAAATTTCATCCAATTATGGATTTATTCCTACGAATAGCGACACACAGAAAAAGTGATGGAGCTTAAAGCTCCATTTCGGACGCGCCGCACAAAATTCTTTCCTCATCAGCAAACGCGTGTGGAGGAAATTGTCGTCAGGCAAGAGCGCCTCCGCCAAGGATCACTCCTCCGAAGCAATAATGCCGTCAAGTGTCTTTAGCGATGCTGCAATAAATATTTAATGAACTATGTCGTGCCAGTAACTAAATGATATTGCCCGAGGGCTTGCATAGCTGATGAACTGTCTCCGGTGTATCTCATCTCGGAAATGAATAGCAAAGTACACGCTCAAGAGAGACTTTAACCTCGTGTGTCAATAATTGAGACTTTGCCTTTCAACTCTGCCCAATGACATTGTGTCTGATTGCGATGATGGAAAGTCATGTGCTAATCTCTGAATCAAGCCATTCGAGCCAACTTTATCTACACAGCACATACATTTCGTCATGGCTTACGATGCTGTCATGATTTTCAGGTACAAAACGAGGGGAAGATAGTGAATATTGTGCCTTAAATCCGTCCACCACTTCCTGACACTTCCGGCATTTGAAATTTTCAAACTTTGCATACCAATTCTGAAATTATAGTAAGTTTCTTAAGTTTTCATCAGTTTCTTTCCACTTAAAACCGCCCTTTTAGGGCATCTTTTCCGACTATAACCTCAAAATATCACTAAAATTACTATTTTTGAGGTTATGAGCGACTCTAACACAATTTATAGTGTTTCTTGGGATTAAAATTGCAGAAGAGCAATATTTATTGCATGCATATGCTTAATTCTGCCAATTACTAGCGATATCTTCGAATTATGCACAAGAATTGATGTTCTAGAAAGCGGATTGTTCACTTAATCCATCTTAGATTCGTTACAGAACCTAGAAAAGAAATATTATGATTATTTCTACGATTATTACAGAAAAATCTAAAGAAATTGAAAGAATCTGGATGATTTGTCAATAAAAGCTCCACTCTGGAAAGTAATATTGTAATGTACACCACTTCTAACTGCATTATCTTCCCCTTGACACGATATCACAATCACAAATATGTCTGATACACGCATTGTGCATTGCATAGTTCGTAGCTTAATGACTCTGAGATTAATTTCGTGCCTCAATTGAGTTGATCTGATCAATTGTCTGATAAAGAGCAGCAGACAAACTAAGTAATTTACTTCATCGTCAACTGCAGTAAATATTTTATCAAAATCAGCAATGCATCTTAATTGGTGCTTATGAATTCCTCGGCAAATCTACAGCCATAATTTCCATGCAAATGGGCTCATAATAAATTAATCGAAAGACGAAACACAATTGACTGCTGTCGAAAGTATCCTTGTAGACATTTTATTAATGGTGAAAGTTGATGATGATTTCAAAAAGTTTGAAGGAAAAACCTCACACTTCCCAATCACTTGAGACGCTCTTCTGGTTAAATTGAGAGGGTGAATAAATTTGTACCAAAAACTCCAGCGAGAAGCTTTAATAAGCCATATATACAAGCATCCCTAGCCAAATGTGTAAGAATTCACATAATTATCTCATGGCTGTTGAAGCTCATTGCCTGATATAAATTTAACGCAACCCTCCGAAAATATTTATGAACGACCAAATTATCCGTAAATCAAATTTATGCCAAAAATTGTAGAACAAGCATGAATTGCGTGCTTTTTCGAGCCTAAAACAGTTATCTCAAGCATATCATCTGCACTAAATAATGCAGGATCTCCTGTAATTTCAGGCCTCGCACACACACACCCATAGTTTAAGTTCTTTATCAGTAATTTGATGGGCCAAAGGCCGAAGCCAACTCCTCCTCTCACGCCCACTTCTGGGGTCGTGGCCTAAAGTCCGAAATCATCACATGACTGCTGATCCCGCACACAAGCCAAAACCTCAGCACGGGATTTTTAAAGTTGCATGAAAATTTAAAGACTCTCCTCGCAACGGTGAAATTGCAATTTCACCCTTTAGTCTCCGTTTCGAGCACAAACTGCACATCGCAAGGAGATAAAAATCAATTATTCAAACTCCAGAGGTAAATATATCCCGATAAACTTCTCTGAATTAAATTTCCACCCCTTTTTGACCTACATTATTTGCACATTTCAGGAAACTCAATCACTTTCATCGCCAAGTACAAATTGACAGCTGAGATTTGCATATCCAATCAATGGACAAGTTAAACAGATGGAGAAAAGCTCCAGAGACTATCCGAAAAAGTGTGTCTTTTTCCCACTTCAAAATCATCTCTGTTGAATGTTTCCACTGACAAAGAGACTCTCTCGAATGGAAACCAAACGCTTCTTAAACTGCATTCGACATTCCAATCCAATTTCATGATTTATCTGACGAACGAAAGAAAAATTGCAAAAGCCTCTTAACTTTTCTTCTTCCTTCCCCTTCGACAAGCACCTCTCGAAAAACTCTTCCAATTGAATTGCTCTTGGGCCCTTTTGCAGGGCGAAAAACACGAGGTGAACTTGCAAAAGAACGAATCAATCTTCTTCACGATAATTTATTAAAATGTTACTCGAGCAGGCAATTTTCACCTGAAAGTTTTCCCGCGCGCGCTGAAGATGAATTTTCTCGTTTTCGAGAGGCCTCAATTAGAGATAAAGATGCTGTTAAATTCATCGCTGAGAGCTGGAACTTCTTCTCACTTTCAAATACACCCACAAAATCCTCCCCAAATGAAAATGGTGAAGTGAAAATGCTGCAAACGATACCAAAGAAGTAGTGAATATTTAAATTATTTGGAATAATTCAGTGGCAGAAAGTCTCATTGTGGCTGAAACTTTTTAATAAGCATAATTCTCGAAAGCTAAAACTCAGAAAGCTCATTTTTAATGCCATTCGTCAAGCGTAAAGGATGTTGTCGCACTTGCTTCTTTCCGCATTGAAGTTATCGACACGAATTGTATGCAATTATTTGTTTCTTTAACAAATTTTAAAGGAAAAGTAGGTAAAATTGAGTCCTATTTCCCAATAAAATTGTGTTAAGAAAAGGAAATTGCCAACAGGGAAGTCACTCGCAATCTGAGACCATTAACTTTGTAAATATTAAATCATTTCTTGATTATTTCGTGAATATTTTATTCAAATGTTGATTTTTTTTCCAAGTTTACTGGGAAAATATTCATTTTTTTTTATTATTTTATTCAGATAAATAAATATTTCATTGAGAGCATTAAATTTCCTCATTAATCGCCTTGTTAATTGCATACAATCCATATAGATAAGTGTCGGTAAGAGTCGCTAACTTCAATCACTTGTACGTAAAAAAAAGAAATAGAATAACTAGAAATGTGAAAAATAGCACTGTTATGAAATAAAAAATCCCTTGACTGGCGATTTTGACTATTTTCCCCCCTAAAATTGTGTTAAAGCAAGACAATTCAATCCACTTCAGCACTTGATTCAGCGTGAAAGAGAGCAAGTGTGATAACTCCCTAAGATTGCTCAACCCTTTGTCACACCTAATTCGGCTTTTCTGCCATTCAACATCAAACTGCGACACTGATGATGAAAAGTTCCTTTTTCTGCGAGAACCGAAAGCTGTTCGTGAGTTGGTGAAAGCGGATGAAACGTCTGTGATGTTTTTGAAGGGGAAAAATTGGCTGTTCATCGTGGAATTGGCTGTGTGGAAAGTCAAGTGTAAGAGGTCACGATGGGCCTTGCATCTGCCTTCACATGCAAATGTTCCACCTCTTCCACCCATCAGCATTTCACATCCACTCAGGCGAAAGCGTGCGCCATCGGGAGATGGGGCAATTGGCGTATGGATGCTGTGTTATGCTCCTCTTGTCATATGTTCTCGCATAATTTTGTAGCTTGCTGAAATGTGAGGAATGTGAAACCATCACTTTTGGGAGTTGTGCTTCTCGCCTCTTCACTCAACGCTTTTTTTTTTGCCCGTCGCCTCACAGGAATGCACAACGACGAGGAGGAAGGATAAATTTGTGGGTGGCGCAAGAGCGCCTTTTTTGGTGACTGAACTCTGAACTTTCGAATGTGTCTCTCCGTCTGTCCCCAATGATCGTTTCGGGGCGGAAATGTACATCCTGCCGAGCAGCGGCATTCATTATTACTTTTATTGGAAAACCTCTTCTTCATATCACCTTCTTCCACACCTTTCACCACCCCCCCAATTCATATACACAGCGAAAAGATCAACTTTTAACAAATTCAATCAAACTTCTGTAATTGTCATTTCCAGAAAATTGTCATCATTTTCGTCCCACGACTGACGCGACAAATGCAAATCACCACATTTTCCCACCAACGCGGCCTCTTTTTCACGCTGAAAAAAAGGTGGGAAATAGTATATTTTTAAAACAACAAATTACTACCATATATCTACTGTTTATAAACCATTTATTTGGCCACCCTTTATTTTCCACCCACAATATTTACACCGCTCGCGGTGGAAAATCTATTTCGACACTTTTGCAGGCAACCAAAAACAGCAAAAAAAAAGGTAGAATTTGGAACGAAAAAAGCCGAAGAAGGATTTCAATGCGATGAAACATTGAATATGTTTTATGTGACCCACATAAATTTTTAATAATTCTCGCGTCACTCAAGTGCCAAAGCGCTCTCGATGCTTCCTTTTCCATCCAGCGGAATTAATGGATTTTTATAGAACAATAAAATTGATATCACTGGTGTGGTGCCAACATGATAATATAATTTTTGGGGAAAAACTCTCCTCAAATTTCCAGAGTCAAATGGCGAAAATATCATTGGGACTCCAGACAGCTTTCTAACCGCCTTTCCGCCACCCTCGCGCTCACTCGCGCCGCGCATGACCGCCCGGAAGACTTCCAGCGCAGACACTGCACAACCGATTGCCCTGGCGCTTCTGCTGGCCAGCAGATGGGCTTCGGAACTGTCAGGAGATCCTTGCGTTTCTTCCCTTGAGAAATTGTTTAATAAACTGTGCCTTTCATGCTCGAAAACAGTGATTTGCAAAATATATTGTATATTTTCTCCATTCACTTTCTCAATCACTATCCATCGGAGTATCAAACACGGGGTCGTATTCCACCTCCTGGCCAGCTTCCTCGTCCATCTGCTGATCGATGGGCACCTCAACGTCTCTGCACTTTGCCGCCAGCAACTCCCGTCGAATCTCAGGCGTCAGCTTTGGGTGGGATTGCTTCCTGAGCACGCCCAGCAGCACCTCCTTCTGCTCCGATGAGATGTCATTCTTGTAGCGCTGCACAAACGTGAGGAAGCTCTGGTGCCACAGCACTGGCATCGTCCTCTTGTCGTGCTCGAAGCGCACGAAGTGAAACACCGCCGCGTCCACGACTCTGTACGGCAGAGCGTAGCGCTTGTCCAGCAGAATGCGGATGAAGATGGAGTTCGCGCCGGAATACTCCATCTCGCAGATCTTCAGCAGGCAGGCGGAGGAGTGCAGCACGGGAATCTGATTGCGAGCAATCACGCTGCCGAAGATGATCGCCTCGCGCAGATTGCAGTCGCCGGACTCAAGGAGTGGCAGGATGATGCCCTTGAAGAAGGCGGCCGGCTTGAAGAGCGCCTTTCGCAGGGCGGCGTACAGATGACTGTTGAGCCTCTTGTACTCGCACAGATCGTCCCGGATGCGCGGCATGAGGACGAGATTGTAGAATCGCTGCGCCATCGGGTGCGACAGCACGGAGCTGAAGATGCGCGTGCCTCTGTACATGGCCGCGGCGCTCCAGTGATGTGGCTCCGTGATGAACAGAATCTGCTCCCAATTGCGCAGCTTGGGAATCACCTTGAAGGCCTTGGGCACCTTTCCGCTGCGATACTTCTTCATCACATCGCGCACGCCTTCGTACATCTCCCTCACTCTCGGGTCAATCTCCTCGATCTTCAGCGATCCCACGTCCGAGAGCTGCGTGTGCAGCTCACCCTGCTTCTCCGCGATCTTCTCCATGATGATCTCCGACAGCGTCTTCGTCTTCGGCCCGGATTTGTTCTGGAACATCTCGAGCGCCTTCTCGTCCTCCTCGCTCACTTTGATGTCATCGAAGAAATCGTGCTCCGTGACTTCTGGCTGCTCATCAATCTGCCCGTCGTCATCCTCATCATCAGAATCCACGGGACGACTCAGTTTGGGAGCCTTGCTCGCCTTCCTGAAGATCTTCGCCGCCTCCGCCGGCGTTGGACCCGACATGGCAGTAAAGTCAACTGGATCATCAGCCAAGCTCTCCATTTGCTGCTTCCGGGCAACATCGAGAATCTTTCTGGTCATGCGAGCATCGACAAACTGAAAAACAACCAGTGAATTGAAGGAAAACCCCCAGAAAATCGTATGAAAACACTTACATTCTCCTCTTCAGCTTTCATGCGGATTTTCACTCGGTTCTTCTGTTTGGGCATTTTGCTCTCCATTATCTGCTCCTCCAGGCCCACCTTCTCCGGCTCCTGACTGGGTTTCATGTTCTTCCTCTTCGCCTTACCCATTGTCCAAGCTCTTTTTCACTAAAATACTCAAAATGCACGTGCTTTTTCCCCTGACGTGCGAAACCCAAAACAACACGACATAACCTCACATACGAAACATCGAAAAGGTGGAAATTCAAAAATTACCCGCCACGCGAGGGGCAAATTCACAGGGTGAGTCGATATTTGTTGAATTTATTGATAAATTTATTTATTCTTGCCTCAAGTACTGATAAACATTTAAAAGAGGGTTATTTTCGTCTCTATACAGTATAGCAGTAACATAGAGCTTATGTACTCTACACCGCCAGCGAAATTCATCATTATACACAGAGATTATTCCTGAAGGGAAATCAATATTTTCTTCTCACATTCTTTCTTTCATATGGATTAACTTTTTTTTTCCGTGGACGTGCAATTACTTTCATATTCATATATGTATACTTAGTAAATTACCTGAATTGTATTAATATTACATCAGCGCATTACAAGAGCTCAATATAGTTATTCATTTTTTGGGTTTTTCTCTCCACAAATCGATTTTGGATTATATAAGAACATCTAATGATATTTCCATTTTGCAGCAAATACAATACATTTATATATATATTGAATTTATAAATCGAAAATTTCATCCCCCAAAAGTAAAAGAACCAATTGATCTTCATTGCCTTTCGCACTATCTAAACTTTAACGTATAAAAAAAATCAAGGGATTCCTTTTTATCAAAGTCAATTTAAAAATCAAATAAATAAGTGACTGATTTCGCACACTCCTCCTTTCGCTCACCATCTTCCTTTCTCTCTCTCAATCTCTTCGTCTGGGTGGAAAGATACACAAACAATCACCCGACAAAATATCCCGGCGTGTGAATCACCGAGACATTGGCGTGGCGAAGGCGAAAAAGGGGCAGCGAGCTCTTTATCAATATCTGTTGTTCATCTGAGAATTCACCGCCGCCGAGGCGGCATTCGTGGCGGCTTGCTGCACATGCGGATTGCGCATAAACTCCGTGGTGAACTCCGCCTGAGCCTTGGCGAAGCTTGCGCCGGAACTCCGGTAGATTGAGTGGATCTGCAAGCAAATGCATTAGAAATCTCCTTTCCCCAATGAACCAGAGAGACTGATAATCTCACCTTGGTAAGCATCATAACGTCCCCAGCGGCGCAAGTGCCGAAGCCAATGGCGATCAGGAGCAAGAAGAGCCCCAGAAAGATCCCACCGACGGAGCTGTCGAAGACACTGAGTGCCACAATGAATCCACACGTGCCCATGCCCGGAATCCCAATGGTCTGAATGATGGTGACGCACATTTGGAAGAAGAACACGAAGAAGAACACCATGAAGTTGAAGCTCGAGTCATTGCGGAAAGCCTTGTAAGCAGGACGGTACCTGGAAACAGTGCAAAAGAGTGAGAATGTGAGAAAAGAAGGGCACGGCAATGGCCCATGACCGAGGGAAGCCTCTCGTTATGCACATTCTTCTTCTGTTGGCATTGCAGCCATTCATGCGCGACTCACCAGCAGAGCCAAGAGGCCGGCGTGAAGAGGAATGCAAAGAGGATGGACAGGCCGAATGTTGAGAAGTCCCTGCTGTGTATCATGAGCACCATGGCCCCGATTATGTTCACGCACATCACCCCCGCGTACACTGATAGGAGAGAGAGATTGATTAGTCACCTGTCGAGCGAGCGAGCGCGCGATAAGGCGGGGAACTTACTGATCCACACATAGTACAGGTGTCGCACGACTCTTTGGAACTCCGACGGGATGTCCACCTGGATCTCGTGGTAGAAGCACGGCTGGAAGCAGCACTTCTCGGGCAGCGGCGGCCAGTTGTTGCGGCGCACGGGCTCTGTGTTGGAGCGCAGCTCGCGCTCGCGCCTCTCCAGCTCGGCCGCCCGCCGCTCCAGCTCCTCCTGCCGCCGCTGCAGGTCCTCCGTGGTGATCTGGGGCTGGCTGTACTGTGAGTAGGCCGAGGTGGCCTCATTTGTGGGCTGCACGATGGCCGGCTGGCCGATCTGCACGGGCCGAGGCGGCTGTGTCTTTGGCGGATTGTCATCCTCGAAGGGATTGTAGTCTTCCAGGCCGCGCTGTTGGTTCGTTGTGTTGTGCGCCACTTGTTGAACTGACGGATCCTGCAACAGGAGCCAACATTTAACCACAAGAGATTTGCAAGATGAGAGAGAGCGTTTCAGGGGGGCGGAATGAGGAAACTCTGTGTGACAGCGCGATGCGTCACGATTGTCGCCTTTCTCACCGCAAACGGATTATCAATCTGTCCACCGAAGATATTGTCGTTGAAGCCAGACATCCTGCACTCTTCCTGCACCGCCTATGCTCACTTGTATCACCTAAAACATACAATTTTGCACCAAAATATGGACAAGAATCTCCTGCGAACTCTTTTTTCTCCTTCGCGACGGCTCGACTTTTCTTCTTCTTCTTCACCCCCAAGTTGTGTGGCGTGTCAGAGCCGCTGAGTGGCGCTGCCAGCGCGCACTTCGGCCACCTTCGGTCGCGCATCGGGTGGCCGAGCCGAAGAAAACATCGAATTTTGACAGCTGTCGTGGTTTTGCGGCTCGCATCTCTCTTTTTCCGTGTGGCCGATGATATAGGACGCCAACATGAAGGTAAATTGCATTTTTCACTGGGAAACACGGTTATTTTCCCCGATATCCTTGGCAAAAGCTGCCAATCAGATATCAATCTATGCGCTAATGCATGAATCTGGACAGCTTTGATCCGGATGACGGGGAAAATTGAGGATAAACATTCCGGAGAGAGAAGCAATGTTTTGTTGGCTGTCGCCTAATAAAACCTCCCTTTTGCCTCTTCTAGCTGAACGTGTCGTATCCCGCAACGGGATGTCAGAAGCTCTTCGAGGTGGTGGATGAGCACAAGCTCAGAATCTTCTATGAGAAGCGCATGGGGGCCGAGATCGAGGCCGATGTGCTGGGCGATGAGTGGAAGGGTTATGTTCTCCGCATCGCCGGAGGCAATGACAAGCAGGGCTTCCCCATGAAGCAGGGCGTGCTGACCAACGGTGAGTAGTGAGGGAAACGCAGTGTGAGGAATTGTGACTGAGAGGGCTGTTTTTGCAGTGCGAGTCCGCTTGCTGCTGAAGAAGGGACACTCTTGCTACCGGCCGCGCCGCACTGGCGAGAGGAAGCGCAAGTCCGTGCGCGGATGCATCGTGGACGCCAACATGAGCGTGCTGGCGCTGGTGGTGGTGCGCAAGGGTGAGAAGGACATCCCTGGACTCACGGACAACCAAGTGCCACGCCGTCTGGGACCGAAGAGGGCCTCCAAGATCCGCAAGCTGTACAATCTCAGCAAGGAGGACGATGTGCGCCAGTACGTCGTGCGTCGCCCGCTGCCCGCCAAGGAGGGCAAGAAGCCGCGCACCAAGGCGCCCAAGATCCAGCGCCTCATCACGCCAGTCGTGCTGCAGCGCAAGAGACATCGCATCGCGCTGAAGAAGAAGCGCTCCGCGCGTGGCAAGGAGCAGGCGGCCGAGTACGCCAAGCTGCTGGCTCAGCGCAGGAAGGAGGACAAGGTGAAGAAGGAGGAAGCCAAGAGGCGCCGCTCCGCCTCCCTCCGCGAGTCCAAATCCTCCAGCATCAGCGACAAGAAGTAAAGAGCGAGAGAGGACTTCAATCCGGGAATAAAATATACAAAACTCCTGAACTTTACGGCTTTTGTGTTATCCATTTATTTCTCCATGGCGGAGCTGATCAGTTTACTTGGCATGGGCCTGGGCCTTGCGCATCTGAGTCAGGATGTTGGACAGCTCCTCACGCTTCCTCTTGCCGCGGATGTGCGTGCCCAGGCGGCGCTTCAGGAACTTCAGGGCGCGCTTGTCCTTGGACACCTTCAGCAACTCCATGCAGCGCTTCTCATAAGGGGCATGACCAACCACCTCACGCACGATGTCCCGCACGAATTTGGTGTGTTTCGTCTGGACCTGCAACACAAGAGACAAACTCCGGTCACTCTCAAGCCACCACAAAAACACGCACTTCTGGGCGATTTGCAACTTCAGACCCATAAATTTAACCATCGTCCCAACCTAACAATGCTCCCGGAGCGAAAGACACCAAAAGAATATTGGCATCCCGTCCGGGAACAAGGTTCTTAGCTGGGTGTCTGTGAATGGATAATGTTTTTCATCACCAGTGTTTTGTGAGGTTATGTTGTTGCCAGGAAAACTGGCCAAAACCTCATCCAGGACACACTTGGGGGGTCAAACTTACGTTCTTTATCCTGTCGGCGCGCAGTCCCTTCACCTTCTTGTCGCCGGTGTAGCGCAAATTCCTGATTTTGCTGGTTTTATGTCCCTTGTTGAGACCCACACAAAGTTCGTATTTCAGGCCCATCTTGTCCTGCAAGACACAAAACTAGTAGTTAAAATCCGTAAATCACCTCAATGTCTATCAATTGTGATGCAGAGAAGAGAAATCTGCTCGATGATTAGTCAGATAAAAGTAAATTTCTCTGTACAGAATTTTCGCCATTGATTTACCTGCGATCTTGACAACCGGAAAGATTCGATGTTTCTCCGCTCGCGACGTCATCACGGACATCGCACACTTTTCCCCTCCAGAATCGGCGCTCAACCCGGCAAAACTTCCCTTGTTTCTCCGAGATTTTTGAAAATACAACAATTTCGCGTGTGTTTATCACTTTCGATCCACTCAATTTCCTCCCAATCAAGAGATTATCGCCAATGGCGAAACAGTGACAAAATCATTTGATTCCAGTGCAGTGAAATTGCAGCACGAGTGTTGGAACTGTGGGAGTTGAGAGGAAGTCAGTCAGTCGGGTGACTTCGACCGATTGTATTTCTCAAAAAATGTGTGTGTGAAAAAGTGGCAAGAATATAATATCAATTTGATTCTTTATAAATAGACCACCTATGTCGTCGAGCTATCGAACAAATAGTGTGCAAAATGAATCGCATTTCGAAGATTTTCCAGCCGATGGTGATCATCCCGAAGGGCGCCGTGATCAAGAAGCAGGAAGTTTCCTCGCGCAGTCACCGGGTGAGTATTCCTGGAGACTCTGTCGCCGCCAGGACTGACACAGGACTCTGTGTTGCAGCTCATGACGGAATTGGGGCTGATCAAGGCAGCCGCTAATGGGACGTTCTACCTGATGCCGCTGGTGCAGCGATCTGTGGACAAGCTGGTGGCAATTGTGGAGGCGCACATGAGACAGATCGACGCCCAGAAGGTCACCCTGCCAATCCTAACACCTGGCGAGCTGTGGAAGAAGTCTGGGCGATTGGGGGGCGCCATAAACCGCGAAATCATGACGACAGTGGACAGACACGACAATCTGCAAGTTCTCAGTCCGGTAGACAAGCATTCAATATAATTCTCAAGTAAGACTCAATCTGGCGTGATAATCACTAACACGGTGTTTCGCTTAGACCAATGAAGAGTCGATAACATCGCTGATGGCCTCCTTATCGCCGATTTCCTACAAGCAATTGCCACTTCGCTTTTATCAGGTAAGCTTTGACCCTCGCCCAAAAACTCCTCAAATCAAATCTCTTCCTCTCACCGCCTGTCTTTCTGCACGCAGATCGGCACGAAGTTCAGGGATGAGATGAAGCCGCGCTTCGGGCTGATTCGCACCAAGGAGTTCCTCATGAAGGACCTCTACACCTTCGACGGCAACGAGACGAACGCCCTGGACACGTACCACGAAGTCTGTGCGACGTACGAGCGGATGCTGAAGCACCTCGGCTTGGGCGCATTCGCGAAGGTCGAGGGCGATGCGGGGCTGATGGGAGGCAATCTGTCGCACGAGTATCATCTCCCGGCCACCGTGGGCGACGACAGGCTCATCGCGTGCGAGAAGTGTGGTCACGCGGCTAATCTGGAGGCTATTCCTGAGGAGAAGCGCAAGGAGTGCATCAAGTGCGGCGCCCCGGCGCTCGTGATAACGGAGGGCATTGAGGTGGCGCACGCCTTCCTGCTGGGCGATAAGTACTCCACGCCACTGAAGGCCAACTACCTGCAAGAGCACGGCTTGACAGAGTCCCTGGCGATGGGATGCTTCGGCGTGGGTGTCACGCGACTCGTGGCCGCTGCGGTGGAGGTTCTCTCCACGGAGACGGACATCCGGTGGCCGCGCAGGCTGGCGCCCTTCCTGGTGTGCCTCATCCCACCGAAGTCCGGCAGCAAGGAGGAGAAGAGTGGCGGCAATGCTGTGACAGAGGAGCTGTGCAATCAGCTCGTCACTCTGCCGGGCCTGGCGGATGATGTGGTGCTGGACGATCGCAATCATCTGACGATAGGGAAGCGCCTCTTGCTGGCCAGGCGCATGGGCTATCCGTTTGTGATTGTGGCGGGCGCCAAGGTGGCCGAGAATCCGCCACTGCTTGAGCTGCACCTCGTGGAGTCCGGCAAGAGTGTCGAGCTGTGCCCCAGTGACCTTCTCAGCGAAGTCCGAAAGCACCTGGACGCGTGATGAGAGTAGTTTCTTATCTTTCGGAGTAGTGTTAAGGGAATTTTACTACGTCACCCAAGTGATTGACAATGAGTGACTTGATGAGGAGCGACGGCAGAACGATGCACGTCGTCTCGAGGCGCGAGTAGCGGAGAACCACTGTGAATTGTTAGAGGAAATATTCATTGTTGTTTTGCCACCCAAAACATTGTGCCGTGTTTACCTGAGCATGAACAGATGAGTGACAATAAAAAGTAGCCCATCACCAGCATTGAGTGTATCTGCAAGGCGAAGGCGGACGAGTTGTCCTGCCAGATGACAATTGGCACGAAGAGGAACTTTCCCAGACTCGCCAGGATGATGCTCTTCCACAGCACCAGAGACAGCTTCTCTGGTCTCCCTGCCACCTTGTGGGCCTCTCTCTTTAGCACACTCTCCAGGAGGAAGACAGATCCTCGCATGCTACAGTAGAACACCAGATTCTCCATGATCACCCAAAAGCCGCTAATGTAGAAGTTCTTTTCAGACTCCTGATCAGTGTCACTTTCCGGGAGGATCATCCACTTCATGTAGGACTCCATGAGACTCAGAATGATGAAGAGCTTCCAGAAGTTCTGCAATTATAGCCATCTTTTCACACCTTTTCCACACATCCCGGCAATCAACCCACCTTGAAGTGTCCATTGAAGAGAATATGCCTGTAGGCGCTCTTCGTCAGTAAAACCACATCAACCAGGATCACAACAGGTTCGAACTCAATGTATTTATCGGCTACTTGATGGCAATTTGCCTGAAAATTCCACAGAAACACCAATATTTGATCTCATCCAAGAATGTAAACAAAAACACTTACGCAGCAAGTCATCTTTATCACGCTTTCACCGTATTTTCGGTATAATTCTGGCACTGGGTGGCCGCAATTTATACACACGACCTTTTCCGTATCTTTCTCCATGAATGGTATTTGTTTTCACTGTTAATTATCGGGTTTTTTACTGAGCGAAAATTTGGTACACAAAACGCCCTCAGCTGACGATGTCAACAAACTTTAAGGTTATGTTTGTTTGCGATCTTTTTGGGCGCGGATTCTGTGGATGGAATAAAAAGTGAATAAAAGCTGATAAAAAGATCAGAGGGATTCGAGAGATTAGATTTTACATGAAAATTGAAGGAATTTGTGATATTCATGAGTTGCCATAAGAAAATACTCTGTGAACAACTCGTTTGAACAGGTAAACTTGAGGTAAACAAACCTTCCTTTTCCTGGTAAAATCTGACTTTTCGCCTGCGTCTTCCAGATCTTTCAGGATGGATGCACCAGAAGCAGGTCCTAGTTCTGATAGCGGCAGGACGCGAGGCGGCAGAGGATCTCGCAGAGGCGCAGCAAGAGGTCGTGGAGATTCCTCCAACGCACCTTCCCGAGGTCGTGGCGCCAGCAGAGGCAGACCGTGGTTCCGTCCACACTTCTGGAACTCCCGACGCAATGAACCGGCTCGCGAGAAGCCCATTTCCGTGCCTGTGTCACTCAATGGCGGGTCAGAAGAGCCACAGGTGGTTTCCTCGGTGAATCGTCGCTCTGTGGCGAATTTCGCCGGCTTCCGGACAGCAGAAAAGTATCCGGACTGGAAATTGTACCTTCCCCGCGAGGCGCACATGGAGGGCAGTCAAATGGCTAGGAAAGTGGAGGCATTTGCCGATCATGTGGCGAGGAATCCGGGTGTTTATGAGTTGGAGACGATTCAGCAGAAGCTGAACTTCGAGGTGAACCTGGAAGTTGTGCAGGAAGATTCTGTCTTCAAGGCAGAATGGGCCACTTTCGGTGAAGATCTCCTCAATGACCCTGAAAATACTCTCGCGTGCCTGGCAATCGCTGTGCATCACAAGATCCTGAAGCTGGACGGTCAGAATTCCGCCTTCCAGCGCACCATCAGACCGAAAATCGTGGGCTTCGGGCCGATCATCCACATGAAGACGCTGAAAGTGAGCACTTGCGGGAAGATGATCAGCATTAAGGGCACCGTGACGCGCTTGGGATCCGCCGAGATCATCTGCACGTGGATGGCGTTCGAGTGTCCCGAGTGCGGAAGTGCGCAAGTCGTCAGACAGCCGGATGGGAAGTTCCTGGTCCCGAAGTCCTGCACAGGAAAGGGCATGTGTCGCAACACGTCGAACTTCGAGTCACTCCTCACGTCTCACTTCACCAGGAGCGAGAGTGTGCAGACGATTCTGCTGGAGGAGAGCATCAATGAGCGCGGCGGAGATGCTCAGCGCGCGCCGCGGAGCATCGAAATCGAGCTGACGAATGACATGGTGGATTCTGTGTGTCCAGGAGACGATGTCACGATCACGGGTGTGCTGAAACTTCGCTCGGGCGATGAGCATCAGAAGGACAAGGCGCAATCCTTCGTCAGTTATATTCGCGCTGTAAATCTCATCAGCAATTCCGGCCCAGTGATGAAGAAGACGCTGGAATTCACGCAGAAGAGTCTCCGCGCCATTGAGCTGATCAGGAGTGATCCCTTTCCGCTGCGTCTGCTCGTGCACTCCCTGGCGCCGTCCGTGCGTGGCTACGAGATGGTCAAGGCGGCTCTGCTGCTGGGCCTCTTCAGTGGCAATCTCAGCGACAACAGCAGCTTCCGTTCAGAGGTTCACATTCTCATCGTGGGCGATCCGGGCTTGGGCAAGAGTTGCATCCTCAAGGGCTGTGCCGCCGCGGCTCCGCGTGGCATCTTCACCAGCTGCTCGAGCAGCTCCCGGACTGGCCTCACGGCCACGGTGAAGACGGAGAAGGGCGAGGGAGCGACGCTGGAAGCAGGCGCTCTCGTGCTGGCGGATCAGGGCGTCTGTTGCATCGACGAATTCGACAAGCTGGCCTCCAATCACGCCTCAATGCTGGAAGTGATGGAGCAGCAGAGCGTCAGCGTGGCCAAGGCGGGCGTGGTTTGCACGCTGCCCGCGCGAACCACCATCCTGGCAGCGGGGAATCCCATCTCTGGTCACTACGATCACTCCAAGACAGTGTCTGAGAACCTGAAACTGCATCCTGCCGTGCTGTCGCGCTTCGACATTGTCTTTATCCTCATGGATCAGCGCGGGAAGGACTTCACGCTCTTCTCGCAGTCTGGCCAATCCTTTGACGCCTCCATGCCACTTCACAAGCGTCTCGAGCTGCGTCCTGGCGAGCACCTGGACGCCCTGCCGCACGTGCTGTTCCAGAAGTACGTCGCCTATGCGCAGAAGATCGGCAAAGTGCGCCTGACGCCGGAGGCGGGAAATCTACTGCAATCCTTCTGGCAGGAGCTGCGCAGGATTCGCCTGGGGACGCAGTGCATCCCAGTGACCATTCGTCAGATGGAGGCCATGGTGAGGATGACAATGGCACGCGCCAGAGTGGATCTCAGCGCTGAAGCGACTGTCGATCATGCCAAAGACGTGATCGAGATGATGAAGTTCAGCATCATTGACGTCCTGAGTCCGGACGGCGGCAGCACGATTGATGTGGAGCGCGGAATCAACGGCAGCGGGATGAGCAAGGCTAGTCAGGTGCGCAAGTTCTTCGCCGAGATCCAGACGCGATCCGTGCAGAAGCGCACACACGACTTTCACATGGATGAGCTGAAATTTGCCGCCAACAAACTCGGCATGGCGAACATCCTTCGCGACATGCTCGAATCGCTCAACACTCAGGGATTCATTCTCAACTGCGGCAACGGATTCTACAGGCTTCTCTAAGAATCGATGGTTCGTTTATTAAAATAATTACGAGTTACAGTTTGTTATACAGTAAAAACCACTAAAGCCTACAAACGTGATGTTGTGTCACACACGAAAATCACATTCATCCCCCAAAAAAATGTCCTTAAAAAATGTTTTAAATTGTTTTTGGTATTGAAAATTCCCTTCAAAATAAAATATGCATTGCCAGAGTTCATGAATTGCATTGAAAAGTAATAAAAATCTACATTTTGGAGACTTTTTTAAGCAACCAATTTCTTTCAAATAACACTTAATTAAGTCTAGAACAGTCATACAAATTCCATAAGTTTGCTACACACATTCATAGTTTATTAGATTATCATGTCTTATTATGTTTAAGCTTGTGTGAAATAAAGTCCTCATTGTTATTAGTGCATTTTTCCTCCTGTAATTATTCACTTTTCAGGGTTTTCACGGCAGTTTCGGAAATAAATATCAGATAAATACAATCATATCATTTTGCTTGATTTCTTCTCCTTAAGCTTTTTCTCATTTCCCGGGCTTTGACCGACCTTAATAAAACACACCTCAAATCCATCTCTTATCTCTAATTCATTGGTCTCTTGCAGTTAAAGTAATATCTCCAAAGGATTGAAGGAACGCATTGGGGATAAATGCTGAAGTGAAGGTACAGGAAAAGTTAGAGGTAGGAACATAAATGACATAAACTTATAAGAAAATACAATATAAATTGGACGGATGCAAATCTTAACAGTAAGTTTAATGACAATAAAAAGAAAAGAGAAAAAAAACCAGATCTTGGTCAGGTACGCTGTGATTTCAGTGTGAGAGATTCTCAAGAAGGAGTGTGATGTTAGTCAGAGAGAGAGATAAATTATGCCTTGCGATGCGCAAAGTGCAGGAAAATGTCCTCCAGCGATACTTCCGAGACAGAATAATCGCTGATTGTCTTGGGGAAATTCTCTCGCATCTCCTCCAGCTTCTCAAACACTTCCGACCAGCAGACATTGGGATTTGTCACGTGATACTTGAGAATGTCCGCGTGATCCTCTTGCAGCACACTCTCGGGAAATCTCTCGGCAATCTCCTCCTTGAGATCACTCACGAGATCACAGCCTTTGACCAGCTTCATCACCAGCGTGAATCCATTCCCAAACTTCTCCTTCAGCTTCTGCGTCGGTCCAATGCACTGCAAATGACCATCGCTCATGATGGCAATCCTGTTGCACAGCTGCTCACACTCATCCATGCTGTGCGACGTGAGAATGATGGTCTTCTTGCGCCTCTTCAGCTCCCCAATGCACTCCCAGATGCGCCGACGCGAGATCGGATCCACCCCAGTCGTCGGTTCATCCAGGAAGATCACATCCGGACTGCCAATCATGGCAATTGCCGTATTCAACTTCCTCTTCGTGCCACCCGAATAGTACTTCACCTGCACATTTCTGTACTCCTCCAGATCCACCCGCCTCAGCCACGCGTCCACCTCACTGCGCAACTCCTCGCCGGCAGAGATGCCACGCATCAGGGCGAAGTAGCGCAGCGTCTCGGCGGCCGTGAGTGATGTGTGCAGAGCATCAATCTGAGGACAATAGCCGAGGGAGAATTTGTAGGAATTGGCGTGTGTGATGCTGTTCATGTGACTCAAGTGGATCGATCCTCTCGTGATGCTCTCATTCAGTGTCATCATCTTGAAGGCTGACGTCTTTCCAGCCCCATTTATGCCCAGCAGGCCAAAGCACTCACCCTTGTGCACACGGAAATTCAATCCCTTCACAGCTATTGTGCCATTTGGATACTCCTTCTCCAGATTCCTCACCACCATGGCGAACTTCTCGAACTTCTGCTCTTGCTCACACTTCTCCGTCTCGCACTCCTCATTCTTCACATCAGCATCCACTTGATCCTCAGCATTTACACGCACTGGTGAATCCACAGCGTCCACGGATCTCTTTGACGGCTTCTGTTGATCCCTCTTCTTCCTCAACCTCATCCAGAAGCTCACGAAGCTCCGGCCAAAGTAGATGTTCTCACAGAAGTTGATCAGATACACCAGATAAATCGTCATGAGGATCATCATGGCGAAGAAGTAGAACGTGATGTCATACGGCCCAAAGTCATTTGACACAGGAATCGTATTCATGCCATCAATGCCAATCATTTCCTGCGACAGTGACATGCTTCCCGTGGAGAAGAAAGCCATAATCACCAGAGCAATTGTGTGTCGCATGGCAAAATCTGGTAGAATGTGAAAAGCTTGACTCCACAAAGCATATTCGCGGATCTTGTCATCCGACGTGGAGAGAAATTGTGTCAAGATGATGGCAAAGAGAGCTTGATAGGAGACAAAAGTGTACAGATTCTCCACACTCTTGAAGTACTTCGTGAGAATGTAGAGAAACGGAAGCATCGCCATGCCGTAGAAGATGTAGATTCCTGTCAATTTCATGTGCACTTCTGGCGAAAGGATTCCTCCACGGTCCACAAACTGTGTCGCCACGACATACATCAGCACACAAATCAGCGAGTGAAGAGTCAAATCGAAGAGAAACGTCGTCATCCAGTAAAGACAGGGATTTGTGCAGTGCAGCGACTTGAATTCCGTCGTCTCCTCGGTAAATGGAGCGCCCATGAAGTAGAGAATGTAGATGAAGATTCCCAGTGGCACAAGACTCTCATAGATGTGCATATGATACCGATTGACGCCCATATCCTTCCTCAGCAGCGGTGCACTTCGTGTCTCAATGAACGCACTGTGTCCTCGCATTGTTTGCAGCATGACATTGGACACGAGATTCTGCGCCATTACAGAACTGTGAAGAGCATTTCCTGAGAAGAGAATCTTCACGCGCAGCATCTGTTCATTCACCATCGACACTTCAATTCCCGCCACGATGTTCTCATAGTAATTCAGGCTGTCCGACAACTCTTGATACATCAGAATCTCCTCAATCTTCCTGTCCTTCTGCGTGATCAATTGGATATTCTGCTGCCTCGCCACTCTCTGAAATGTCTCCAGCAATCTCCGTTCATAGTCACTGTTGCTGGCATTGGTGATGGCGAGGTGAATCTGAGGTGTTCGATAAGAGCCAAAGTTCAGCACCAATTCCTTCTGCTCCGCCATTGACACCGTCAATCGGATCAGGATAAACGACGTGATCAGCATTGCGAAGGGAATGGCAAACATCAGTGTGGAGTGAAGGATATCGCGCCACAAGTAGTTCATCTTCTTATACACAATGGCACAGATTTGCTGCCATTTCGTGCCACACGATCGTCTCTGTGTGAGAATCGCTTCCTCTTCACTCACCGGACGATAGCCCTGAATGGAGTCCACCTCGTCGCTTCCCTGCACAACTGGCGTCACATTCACTACAACATCCTCCCTCTCCTTGTCCGCACACTGCAGAAACACCTCCTCAAGTGTGGCACTCGTGATGCTGACGGATTCAATGCTGAAACGATCCTTCGATATCTCCAAATTCTTCAGTGTTGTCGAGTATTTTTCCTGCTCTTTGTACGGCAAGGAAATGATCAGTGTTGGATTGATGAAAGACTTTATCTTCGCACCCGTTATGTGTCTTCCCACGAACTTTCCCGTGTCCTCGGAGGAGAAGTTCTCATTCGCCGCCATCACTTTGAGAATATATCCCGAAGTGTACTTCTTCTTCAGATCCAAACTCGTTCCTTGACACACAATTGTGCCATTCTCCATGATGGCAATCTTATCACCGAGAATATCCGCCTCTTCCATGTAGTGTGTCGTTATCAGCACCGAACGCTCCTTGCGCATCGCCAGCAGAACATCCCACATCTCACGACGACTCTCCGGATCCAGACCCGATGTTGGCTCATCCAAAATCACGACTTTCGTCTCACCAACCACGCCCATCGCCAGACACAGTCTTCTCTTCATCCCACCGGACAACTTCTTCGGATGACAACTTCCCTTCGGCAGCAGCTTCACGTCATTCAGGATCTTCTCACTCTCCACGCGCGCCTCCTCCGTTGTCAATCCTCGCAATCTGCCGAAGAACATCACGTGCTCCAGACACGTGAAGTACTTCATGAACACATTCCTCTGCGGACAGTAGCCAATGAACTTCTGATACTTTCCCGGATCCGTGTGTCCTTCCACACTTATCATCCCATCCGTGCGACTCAGCGTGCCGATAATCATGCACATCGTCGTCGTCTTGCCAGCACCATTGTGGCCCAGAAGCGCCGTGATTTGACGCTTCGGAATGTCCAGCGTCACTCGATTCACCGCCACTTTGTGCTTCCCTCGGATTGAGTAAAAGGTCTTACTCAAGTGGCTAATCTCAACGGCATTTTCACTCTCTCTGCGCCCCATATTTTGCAGGTCAAACTGCTGCTGAATATTGCCATGCTTCACCTTCGGCCTCACCCAGCAATTCTGCATGGAAAGCATAATAATCATAATGAGAAATTAGCCAGTGGAAAAGCATTTAAAAACATAGCTTTATTGTGAATCTCTATCAAAATTGTGGCTTTAAGATGACTTTTTCTTTCTCTCTTTCTCTCTCAGTCTTATCAACTAATTCTGAGCACATGACCTAATGAAAAGATACGAAGATGTGCTTTCAACACAATGAAAATCTCCGAGAATCCAAAGGTTTATGGATTTCATTATCAACTCTTAATCACTTTTCTACCTGACTCTAATATTTCACAAAATTGAAAGCCATTTGCACTTATATTTGTGGAAATGTTGACACAAACCCAATTCGTGCCAATTCAATTATTCACTCCACACAAGAATGGCAATAAATTAAGTGCCGCGCGAAAGGAAGGTTATCAAGATTTTACGGTTTCATTTCGATAGACATTCTTGATAAAGAATTCCTTATTGTTTGATTGCAATTCGCAATAATTTCTCGGAAAAACAGATGATTTTCGATCATCTTAGCGTTCTAAAAGTCTTAAATGCATTTTTCCAAAAAAACAACACGTAGTATTTGTACACGAGGTGCAAGAAATCTTATCTGACGGAAACGAAAGCAAAGAAAAATGTGAATTATCATAAAAATGCGGTTAAGTGGATTGCTCAAATACAAAACTCACTTTCTAAGGAGTGTTGAATTTATTGAGAATTCTCTGGCGCAAATCTATATTAAGCTCCAGACTGTGTTTCTTCGCTCCACAAGTGCTTTATCATCTTATTTTGAAGCCGTTAAGGTAAACAAAGCTATGAATATCTTATCAAATTTAAAGTAAACAAAGCTTTCTTGACTTTATCACACATTGCGTCGAAGGCGAAATTACAAACCAAAAGCCATCGACTGCAATCTAATCTTCGTCTAGCGTAAAAAGACCAGGACTTGTGATAATAAACTCATTTCGACTTACCGCGCCGTGGAAGAAGCATTTGAGATATTCGCACAGTTGGAAGTTCTCCAGGGTGAAGTAGAGTCCCAAGTAGACGAGCGTGTTGAGCAGAAGCAATCCATAAATGTCTCCCATTGAGAAGCGATCCTGCTCAGCTTCCAAATATGCACTTCTCACGAGACTGTTGGCATTGAAAACATGCCCCGTCGCGACGTAGTTCTGAAATATTATCATGCCCTTCAGGAAGAGACTTCCGCAGAAAATGTACTCCAGCTTGTTGATGACGACATTGTCAGCGTAGAAGTAAATGACGCAGAATGGCACGCAGTAGAAGAGAAAGCCACCAATTTTTGCGTATTCAACTGGAATGTTGGGAAAGAATTTCAGTAGAAAATCACTCATTTCGCTCACATATTATTTTTCTGTAATTCTCACCAGTTTGGAAGAAAATGCTGATGAAGAAGCTGTAACTTATGAGCGCCACGAGGAAGAGCATGAGCAGAAACAGCGGATACTGAAACTGCACAGTTTCCCATAAGTTGCACCAAACCGTCATGACAAAGATAATGGCCACGAAGATTGTGCAGAGAAGCACATTGGTGAGGAATCTGGTGATGTCATTGAAGTAAAAGTACTTGGTGACAATCCTCAGCAGTGCCTGAAGAGAGACAAATCAATTTCCCCCCAATTAATAATTCCTCAATCGCCGTGAATTGTGTTGAATACGCACATTGACGCCACACTCTTTCTCCTCCACCAAGGGAATCAGAGTCGTGTAGGTGGCCGTCATGCAGAGGAGAATGGCGAAGAGAATGCCAAAGACAGCGACAGGAGTGTTGCTTATTTGTGTCCTCGCGAGTGCAGGAAAATGTTCCACATCCACCTGGCAAAGATAAAGAGCAGAATTATCATCAAATTCAGTTCAACCAGAGCAACAGAAGTTAGATAATCATATTGATTTTCCCTCACAATCAAGCCTTTTGCGTTCAAACTCATTTTTAGGAAATTCCATGAAATCAAGCAGCGATAGATTTATGAAATAAATAAACAACTGAAGAGAAATATAACACCAACGATATCAAAATTCCCTAAACATTTTTATTACTGACTCATTTCCCCAGTATTTTCAGCATTTCCCGGAATTCTTTGAGTGGGAGAGCAAATTTCTGGATAAAATATGTCTCAGGAGATAAAAATAATGTAGCAGAAATGTTTTCTAACATTATTTCCCCAACGACAATATTATTTGCCAGACTTGCCTCTTATTTGTGTTCATTCTACTTCGCTGTCCTCATTTTTTTCCCCACTTTAAACCCAATGAATGAACGTTGCGGACTGATTTTTGCCATATGGGCGCAATTTGGTCTCCAAAATTGGAGCATTTTATCACGCTTCAGAGCTCATCAAGCGTGAAAATCTACCTTTCATGTGACTTTAGACACAATCTTTTCAATGGAAAACTGATGGGAACTCTTATCAATTCACTGGATTGTTATGCAACAGGTAAAATGGCTAAGAAAATATCTCCAATAGACTTTATAGCTTTTCCTGCGGTCGCAAACATCCACTTTGCTAATAATAAAACATTGTGTATTCATAAAACATACCGCAAAGTTTGTCCTTCCGGTGATAAGCTCAATGTAAATGCTATCAATGCTCTGCTGCAGCGCCAGAAAGCCGCTCTCGATGTATTCATCGGTCACTGTTGGTGTGAGAAGAAGTAGACAAAGAGTTATTGCAACTCCCAGTGAATTGATTATTGAATGGGTGGGCTCCTTTATGGGCATCGGCAGTACCTCGATTGTTGATTCTCTTGATGTCATTCAAGTAGAATTGCTTGGTGTCGAAGTACACGCCCATGTTTCGGTTCCGGATGGTGTAATTGAGCTCTCTGGAGCCATTTCCTGGTCCACTGTGGAATATCACCGCGTAGATCTTCGCCTGGAGGTTCGACTCCACGAAGGCATTCATCTGCTCCACGCTCGGGAAGCCATGCACTCCTGGGCGGAAGAGGAGCAACCGAGAGTGTCAGAAGCCATCGGAAGGGCAAAAACATCTGCCAACTTACTCTCATACAAGATTCCCAGCTTGAATCGGACACGCTCCATTAGTTGGCTGTTTTCAGGTGTGTCTGGCGTGAAGCACACGCTGTCCTCCACCGCTCCGGGAAAGTAGGAGGACAGAATTTCCTGAAAGACATCAGTCAAATTGAGGGCAAATTCCAAAAGATCCAGGAAGTTTCTCTCACCGAATCTATTGGATCATATTCGCGAGATCCAATGGATCTCTCTGAGTGCGAGGTGAAGAGGATTAACCCCATGGCTAGGCATGGTAGGAGGTAAACAAAAATAATGAAAAGCTTCCAGGAAAAGAGCTTTTCCTTTAGCGCCTTCCACATAAACACCCTAAATGTCATCAGCGCCGCCATCTCGATCACTCTTATTTCTCACAAATCACACAATTTCTGGGCATTGTTCACAAGTAAGAGTTCCACTAAGAGCCTCACAAATGCCTCTGGCCACGCACAAGGCTATATTGCAGAAGAATACCTCCCTAAACTCTGGCGCTTTTCACTGCAACTCGCGCGAGACTGTCTCTTTGGGCAACATAAACTCCGCGACAGACGTGTTAAGTCATGACGTCACGGATAACATAGACTGTGCCCAATTTGAAAATCAGCACATTTTGGGCAGTAATTTAGCCCACAGACGATTTCTAGAGACATGATTTTCTTTCCAAGGCATATTCTGCATCACTGAAATGCATAAAAATTTTCTCTACGTGGGAAATCCGCATGAAAAACACAGAACCGCGTGAAGTTTGCAGCGATAGCGATATATCGATAAATCGGTTGAATGAAGGAAAACATAGAAAAAGTGATGGCGTAAAATCATTGCGTTTCTTTCTCTCAACACGAATAAATTGTGCTAAAAAGTGGTGAAAATCATCGAGAAAGTGTGGAAAAAGGAGTTGTGAGACAAGTGAAGATATCAAAGTGTGTCATAAAAGTATTATTTGTCCTTCTGTTGAGGTGTGTGCCAGTGAAAAGTGCAGTGAAAATTCTGTTTCTCCCAGCAAAGTGAGTTCTCGCACCCTATGAGCACTTTGCTCAGCTGCCCGAGAGCGTTCGCGGACAAGTCAGGGGAATACTTGAATTTCTGGATGTGCGAAGGATTAACCTAAATCACACAATCTTGACCCATGTGAGAAATTGATAACAGAACGTGTTGTGAGATGGTCAGTCACATTTTCAAAATAGTTTTCTCATCGAGATAAACGTTTGCGAAATATTTTCGTGGCTCTATTCACCGAATTTGTCCGCGATCGCTCTGTGGGATTGTCTGCAGATGTTTTCTGTGGGGTCACGAAGAGCCCAGAGAGTGAATAATATTGTGTGCGACGCAGTTTACGCATTCATAATTGAGTGAGCTTTTTCCACTGTTTTTCCTGTCGTGGGTGAACGCACAGAAGAAGGACCGCCCAGAGAGAGAATCCTCCTGAATTGGGACACTGAGCTTCACACCGTGTGCGCCACCCTGTTGATGTTTGTGCGGCGGAGTCTCGAGTTGGGCGCTGAAATTTGACCATTTGTGCGACACAGGGAAGTGTGTAAATCATGAGCAGTCAACCGAGTCCGGCACCGAATTCAGCTGAAACTGAGAAGGTGGGTTCACCGCGGGGCCCCCGCGACTCGTCGTGACCCTCACTGACACGCTCTTTACCTCCTTGACACACTTGCAGGTCTTTCACTGGATCAATGAGCTGTCGAATCCGGAGACGCGCGAGAATGCGCTGCTGGAGTTGAGCAAGAAGCGCGAAAGTGTGCCAGACCTGGCGCCGATGCTGTGGCATAGCTTCGGCACCACCGCCGCCCTCCTGCAGGAGATCATCAACATCTACCCCTCCATCCACCCGGCCACCCTCACTGCCCACCAGTCCAATCGCGTGTGCAACGCCCTGGCGCTCCTGCAGTGCGTCGCGTCGCACCCAGAGACCAGATCTGTGTTCCTGCAAGCCAACATACCACTGTTCCTCTATCCTTTCTTGCACACCACCTCCAAGACCAGACCGTTCGAGTACTTGCGGCTCACGAGCCTTGGCGTGATTGGTGCACTAGTGAAGGTGAGGCGCGCTCGAGAGGTCTTTCACCTCTCCGGACACCCTCGAAGGGTGTCTCGTTGGGGGGCAATTGATGCCGAAGCATTTGACGATCTCTAAACTCTCTCTCTCTCTCGTAGTAAACAAGCGATAAGATAAGGGATGGTGGTTTTTTATTGAACGCCTGCCAATGCGATAAAGCGCGATGGAAAAGTTTAATCATGAAAAGCTGTGTTCTGATTTTTGCCATGTGAAATCTATAAAAAGCTTGTCCTGTTAGAAATGTTATATAATATTTATAGAATTCATATAAATAGAGAGAGAGCAATATGGTTGACGAGAGTGAGGGAGAGAATTACCATAGAAACCTATATATTCTCCATTAGAATGCCATTTTATATGCACACAAACTTGCACTCGAGGGACTTTTAATGGGTGGATTAAAAACTTTCCTCACTTGATGCTGAACAACGCGATGTAAATTTTGCAATTAAGTTTTGGATGGAAAATTCGCAGAACAAGTTTAGTGATTAAAGGGAAAGTTTTGTGGTCGTTTGTAAAATTTTACAAACATTAATTTAATAATTTAGAGTTTTGGGATGAGTTTGTGTTGAGAGGGAAAGCTGTTCCTCCAATTGTGGAGCGAATAATCTTAACTTGAAGGGTATTAGAAAGAGTGTGTCTTGTATTTATTGTGTATTTTTGTTCTCTTGTCGTCCATATAATAGAGATAGAACGAGTTTGTGTGCTGATCAAAAGGTCATGAGCGCATAAACATATCAGTTTTATGCATAACTAAAGCATTCCATTCTATATTAGTAGAATACATATTTGTGAATGTTTACACCGCTCGAGTGTTGTTGTTTTGTTCAGAAGAAGGGGAATTTCACGTAAAAATAGATTAGAGAGGCATCAAATTTATATGTATGTTGTGTGTGAAATTGTACATTTTGACTCCCACTCTGATCCATCCTTCTTTTTTTGGCAATATCTATCTTTTCAGACTGATGAACAGGAGGTTATCACATTTTTGCTCAGCACTGAAATCATTCCGTTGTGTCTGCGAATAATGGAATCGGGTTCTGAGTTGAGCAAAACCGTGGCAACGTTTATATTGCAGAAAATCCTTCTGGATGACAGTGGTTTGTCCTATATATGTCAGACATATGATAGATTCTCTCACGTAGCAATAATTCTCGGCAAGATGGTGATATCGCTGGCGAAGGAGCCCTCAGCCAGGCTCCTGAAGCACGTTGTCAGATGCTATCTGAGGCTCACGGACAATCCAAGGTGAGTTAAGCACACGATATCCGCCGTTGTGCGAGGCTAGAGGAAGTCATAAGAACATGAATAACTGTCGTTTCTCTCTGTGTGTCTGTTTTGCAGAGCTTGCGAAGCTCTGAGGCAATGTCTTCCGGATCAATTGCGCGATGCCACATTTGCGGAATGCCTTCGCGAGGACAAATCCACGAAACATTGGCTGTCAATACTACTGAAGAATCTCGAACCGGGCGCCGTGGCTCCGCCGGATCCGCGACAAATGGGCATTTCTCCACTCAGCTCGTAAAGGCCGAGAGGGAAGAAGAAAAAGGTTGACGACTTTGGCAGAGAGGATAAACCCCTGCGCTTACATAACACCGAAAACACGCTTGTCGAAAATAAGGATTTCTCTGTATACATTATATATTTTTGTACGTTTTTGTCTATCCATTGATTGATGAGGGGGGAAACAGGGCGGCATGACGCTGCGCGACCATCGAATGCTAGGAAGTTTGATATTGCAAAATTCACTGATAATAAGAAAAAAAAACAATACAAGTGAGTGAAAAGAGAAAGGAGGAAAGGGGAAATTAGACACTAAACACAGTGATTGAGATTATAAGTTCGGTTTCCTTTCGATGTTGTATTGTAGAGATAACAAAAGATAAAAAAAAATATGCTCAAAGTGTCTTTGAGAGAGAAAGAAAGAAGTAGAATTTCGATAGCAAGTCCAAAACGAGTAAATTATTGGCTAGTCACGGAGCGTGTATGAAATTTTGACAATGGAAATGCGCCTATCGATATTTTACGTATTTGCCAATGATAATTGTGTGTTCACCCTCCTTTTGTCTTGATTCCTTTTTTTTCCACCCCATTTTCACACAAGCAGGCATTATTAGAATTTCCATTGAGTGTTTTCCAGAACTGTGGAGGGAATTAATGAGAAAAAAAAACATGCACTTATGTGAGACTGCATAAATTGATAAAATGTACCTAAAAAAGAAGAAGGAGAGAAAAAAAGTGAAGAAAACTTCAGAGCCACAAAATTATCTTTACAAAATGAAAGTCGCATAAGGTTTAACAAAAAAAAAAATTGTATGAAAATTAGGCAAACAATTGGGCAAATTAGGAATATTGAGACGATAAAGAAAAAAAAAGATTGTTTAATTTAAATAAGAAAACATACCATAATGTAAGAAGATATTAAAAGTCCATTTCATATTGGAAATTGAGGAATTTAATACAAATTATACTACTTAAATAATGATACATGTTTTATTATTTTTATATCTGATGAAGAGGAAAAGCAAACTACACAAAAAAAAACATCATGAAATTATGAGATAAATAAAACATATTGAAGAGTATACTTAAGTGAGATTGCAACAATTTGTAGATTTGTAGGAATTACCGATAAAAAAGAAAGAAAATCTTTTGACTAATTCTAGTTGTCTTGATAAAAAGTGCTTCTATGAAAGAAAATATCTCTTTTTCCTTTATGTTTGTTATAAATTGTATAGAGATGAGAGCATTTCCAGTATTCCTCAGCGCGTTCTCGCCCATCAGCATTTCCGTGGGTGGATTTAAGGATGTAAAAATCGGGAATTACTGCAAATTTAGTGATCAATAGGAAGAGTGAGAAGAAAGAATATCCTTGTGAATTTATAGATAATTTAGGAAAGATATAAACAGTGGTTAAATCAAAACAATTTGTAGATGATTGTAGCTCAATAGCATTGAAACTACTCCAGAATATATATTTCTTTATATTCGATGGCCAGAGTTCTGTTCACAACTTTGTGCAACAGCATTTTTTTGCATATACTCTGATGGCTTAAAGATGTGAAACAACTGACGTTTATTTTCTCTTGTGTAGTGCTTTGTATGTTGATTTCTTTGCCATTTGTTCTTGTTTTCTATACACACACGCTGAAGAAGATGATGAAAAAAATCTGCTGTGCATTAAAAATTCCCTTTTTTTGCTCGACCTCCTCCAATTTATTAAATTACCAACAATGATTACATACTAATGATAAAGTGTAAGGAGAAAATAAGGTAGAAAAAAAGAGAAAGAAGAGTATATTTAGTGCAGTGAGAAATGTAAAATTAATATATGGATATAAAAATGCAGATTAAACATGATAATAAATCTGAATGATGTTCTTGCAAATTGACGCCAAGTGTCTTGTTTCTTCCCATGGCTAATTTCACGCTTTGGCGAGTGGATTAATTGACGGGGATGCGCGAGAGGCGCTCCTGGCCAAACGGTCGCCCAATTGATGCTGTCCTGCGCCCATGAATAATCGCGCAATAACCGCCGTTTCGGCATCTGGAGGTCAAGAGATCATGGGATGGCGGATCGTCGCCGGACGCTACAACATTTCACAATTATCCTTTTCATCTCATCTCGCCCAGGATTCCACTCTTGTGAGAAACACATCTCGCGGGACAATTGTTGTCACAGCATTCAGCCGCACAATTGTGGAATTTTCTGCCACAGCACAATCCCACAGTGGCCGGAAAGCGGGCAGAAAAAGCCAGGGCAAAAAAGCGGCCTGGAAGATCGTTACAAATGCCAGATCCAGAGACATTTCAATGGGATTCAATGGATGCGCGAATCTCCCGGCGAGACCACGCCGTTTTTTGCTCAGCCTCCGCGCCTGGATTCTCAAGTTTCGACGACTCCACGCGAGAAAAAAACGTGCCTGAGCGCTGCGAAATCCTTTTGCAAAGGGAAGTCCTATTATTGCTGCTTTATTATCTATCGCCAGATGAAAAGAGACTGGATTTTGGGGTGGGAAGTGTGGTGTCCGTTAGAAATTGTGTGAGAAGCGAAGCATTTTCCCACGTGAAACACGCGGTCAGCGCGGAGTCACGAAAAGCTGTATGCTGAGGAGCTTTTGAGTGGGTGGAAGTGGGCCAAACTCTCTTAACATCTCTCGGGAAGGAGAGAGAGAGAGAGTGTGTCCCGGCTGAGCAGTGTCTTCACTGCACAAAATGCCTATTCGCGGAAAATGATACACGATGGCCCATCAATCCCGAATTTTCCACTCATCCCAGCCCAGAGGATGAGTTCTCCCCTTAATCCCACCACGCTCAAGGACTCTCGAGAGAACATTTGATTGAATTGACAATTAAAATCATGCCTTATTGGCCCATAAACTTTGCAAATTGCACAGTGAAATAATGCCAGAGAATTGGCTTCTCGCGGCCGGCTCACTCAAGCGCGAGATTTTGGCAAGTTCAGCAGCGCAAAAAGCCACGCAAACTACCCAAAATCGCGAGATATTTATTTGAGTGTTGAATTAAAAGTGGGTATTTTGGTACAATTCAACATTTTTCGAAATTACCCACGGGTTCAACGACCGATAGGCAGAGCGCGGCATGGCCGGCATTGGGCGGAAAGAGACAGCCAAAGGCAGGGCGCTCCGCATGTTGGGGACGCGGAGGCAGCATTAGAACAGAATCCAAATATTTACCAGCAAATACAGCCACACAGAAGTATCGAGGGCGGACGAAGAGTGGCGGCAGAAGGCCCAGAATTCATCAGAGTATTGGTGTGGGCCATAGGAGAAAATATGCTATTTTTGCCATTAGAAAAAAAATCGCCTTCTCTATGCGAATGGATAAAAATTCGTCGCCTGATGCGCGATGCACGATGTCAATTGCGCAAATGTGTTTTTTGCCAAAAAATTTTCGCGAAAAAATCCCAGCAAATGCCCAGCCATTGGTCGCCAGAGGAGCGCGATTATCAACATGTGGGATTCTAGAGCGGCCGCGAGACACCATTTTGAATTTATTTTGCGCTGCGGCGCGACCAATGCAATTACACTATTTGCACACGCGACGAGATGAAGTGCATCCAGGGAGAGGCATATGCTGCAGCTGCACGTGATGCGTGCACTTGCAATTCGCTGGGCGGGATCAACTCGCATCCACTTGGCGCAATCCGACTCTCTCGGCACTCACTTGGCCTCTCGCCTGACCAGGAGGGAGGCCATCCGGAGACAATGCAAGCGAATGCAATTGCAACGCACGACGCATTCAATGCCAACATGAAGCATTTCGATCGTATTTCGCATACGTTCGAAAGATAAGCAAAAATCGCAAATAAAATAGAGAAACTGCAGTTTAGGCACTAATTTTAATCGGAAAATATTTAATTTTTGGTCAGAGTTAAAAGAATTAAATTAAAAATCAAGATAAAAAGAAAAAAATGAACATATCGATCTAACCACAGATTTTCAAAGTCGTTTTTCGACTTAATTGTGGCGTTAAAATGGTTAAATTGTAAGGCCATGTCTTAATTAGTACGAGAATAAATTGGCTCACTGGAATAGGCTTGAGTGCCTTTAAAGAGCACAAAATTCCTTTAGTTGCTCAAAAATTGGTAGTTTTTCTTGCACCAACTGTTAGTGAATCACCTTCATCAGCATTTTTCGCTGTTTTGCCTTCTTTTCCTTTTCCTTCTGCTCCTGCACTCGACAGTGTTCAGCAGTAGGACCTCTTCTTTCTCACTTGAACCTCTGATTATCATCGGTTTTCCCCGTTTAAAGCCTTAAAATATTGTTCTTTCATTTCTTAACAAAAATTGATGTATTTTTCAGATTAAAAGAAGAAGATTTCTATAAAGATTCCACAGTGTAAAAGGCGGAATTTCAGCCCAGTTCTATGATTTTCCAGTGTTTCGCACCGGAAATTTGCTGTTGATGCGATGAGAGCGTTTTCACAGCTCATCAAGCATTTTCTTTTGATATCGTGCACTCGATATCGATGAGGTGGAAGTGAATTTTGCTATTAAGCATTATACGAAAGATAATCATTTTCTGGAGACTTATTAGTCTCCAATCGTAAATATTCCACTCCCAAATTAATCATGTATTTATTTATATCGTCGTGTGTTTTAGCCAAACTCAACAATATTCCAGTGATTGCAATGGTTTGACTGCATTAAAAACTAAGTCATATTTTAATTGAAAAAAAATTAATGCTTCAGCCCTGAAAGTGAGCATTTGCCATTCGCATGAATGAGACATTTTTACGATATTTCGAAATCCAACATAACACCATGTTGTTTGCTCTGTAGCGCAACGAGCTGCGAAGGAAAACACGCTGTGCCTTCAACTATGTGCATTTTCTTATCATTCATATATATCAGTGAGGCCTGGAGTGTACAGAGTTGTTATTTTTCATTGAGAACACCATCAGCGCGCGGGAAAGATAAAAATATTTGGTTTACGGGCGTCCACATTATGTGTGGCGATTGACTTGTGTATCGATAAAGTGACACATAATTATGTATCGGCGGAGTCAATAAAGTGAATGATTGGAAATGCCTTCAGCAGATGATTCAGAGAAGAGGCCACAGAGAGACACTCTTCTTGGCTCCTCTGGAAGCTTTATGGGTGAACTTTTCTCAATGGCCAGATAACGAATCTCATGCTTCGGACGTGATTCTCCTCCGAATTGGACAGAATCGTGAGAATTGGATACTTTTTGTGCTGCGCCTGTGTGCGTCTTGATGGCTGAATAGCTCTGTTCGCACACCATCGAGAATTAATAGGAAAACATTATAAGTATCGACTTTTCTCCATTCAAGAGCACAACATCAAAGAATTCCAAATATGTCCGGCTAACGGGCAAAAAGCGCGCACGATGCTTTTGTCGACCGGAGAAATATATCTAAATAAGATTCACCATAAGATGAAGAGTCTCAAAAGCCAGGGTTTCGTGTGTTGTTTTCGTCGCTCATTAATAAATTTCTGGTTCTCTGGAAAATATCCGCCGAAGCGGTGAGAATGGAGAAAAACAGCGAATTTTGGCTAATGTGATTTATGAGCCGTGGTCATCTTTTTTCATTCTGCGTGAAGGAAAAAGGAGTATGAAAATCATTATGGAGACAATTAATTTCCCACTCTTCAAGTGGCAAAATTTTCAATGCAAGAAGACACCACATAAATCACCCTCAAGGATATCCTCTTCTTTGGCTCCTCACCGCTCGCATTTCAAAAACTCCATGGAAATGTGCGTATTCCCAAACGGGACTTCTTTTCTCAGACCCTCTCTGTGTGCTGTTCCAGAGAAAGAGGGCTCCAGAGAGCACAGAGGTACGCACTTTAAATGAGGCATTCTATGCATTCATGGCAGAGCAAAAGGAGGGTCGTGTGTGAATTGAATTTCTTCCAATCTCACTCTCACTGAGTCGCACACAATCGCTACCTGAGCAACACCCGAACTTTCCTCATCCACTTCACATGCATTGATCCGAGACGATAGGGAGGATTCTCACAGGGGAGAATGGCTCAGCGTCTTCGGGAGTTGCAAAATACATCCCTTCGGCGACATCATTTGACATTGAGCCCCGGAGTTTAGGGGACAGTCGAGAAATGGTCCGGTATTTCTTGATCATTTGCAAATGGGACAAAATATTCTTACTTGGGACAAGGAGATTTTTTGCTCCTTCCAAGACGTCTCTTAATTTATTCTTTTATATCAACATGAGTATTGTTAAGACACATCACAGATTTACACAACGGTCGAGAGAGAATCCTGTTTTGACAGAATATCAAGTATTACTTACTAATTCTCAGTGAAACATTGAGCATTTTCCTTAGAAATATGTTTTCTCTTGTTTTTTTTTAATATCCAATCTTATTGTATGATAGAATGTCGTTTTAACAAATGTAATAACATCTTTTTATGTAGCGAAAGGAAGTGAAGAGAGAACTTATTATAGTGGCATTAACCTGAATAAACCAAGTGTGAAATTTCTTAACACCGCCCGAAACACTGAAAATTCATTAGACAATCAATTTTGTGCTGAAGAATTCATCACTTCTAGAGCGCTCATCCCAATTTCTTGGAAATCCCAGACTTTTGCCTGAATCTCCGAGATGTTACTGTGGCAAAACACAGTTTTTCTCTCTCTCACTCCAGAAATCTAATACAACCGGTCTTCGATTGACGGTTTCAATTTGCCCTGTTTTCTTCTTCCTCGAACGCACAGAAAAAGGACCTCCAAATGCACACATTTTTCTCATCTCCAAAACACATCCTCAAACACACTTACATCCTCTGCATCTTCTGTGCACATACTCAAAAAGTGTTTTTTAATGGATTTGAGTGAAACATGTAATCGTGATTCTCTTCCGCGATACATAAAATGAAGCCGTGT